AGGACTCTTAAAAACGATGCCTTCTTACTTGAGATAAAACTGACGACAAAGTCCCGATCTGAAGAACATTTGTCCACTGAGGCACGTCGTCTCTGAAAGTTCAGAAAACACAGTGTAACATGTACAGAGGTTTGATTCAAAATACTGCTACTAGTGTTCAAAATGATCAGTAAGGAAAGTGAAACTCACTCCAATGTGGATAAACTCAGTGACACATTGTTAGATGGCTCGTCTCCTAAATGAAAAACAGAAAATGCTGCCAATGAAATAAAAAGTGTCCGAAGACTATTACCAAACAGGTTTACTTGCAATCGAGTGCAAATAAACGTTACATTTGTAAGCTCTCAGCCGATCTAAATGGAGTAACGTTTTCAATCGAACGTCACAGTCACTAGCTTTCTGTCATTATCTACGCTTACGTTACAACAAAGATGTCAACACCCTACATGCAATAACATCATATATAGCTGTATAGCATTCCTCATACCTTGTTAGTACAATGTATTTTTTTTAAAACTTACATGTAGCATTTTTGTTAACGTTATCTACAGCAGATTATCTTGCAAACATGATGTAGCCACATGTGCATTTATACGTTTGACAATCAACATTTCAAACACAAGATACATCACAACACCAAATAAGACAAGAGGCAACGTGAGACTTCAAAATCGAGTACCAGATTGTGAGCTGCTCCATCCGAACGGTGATTTTAAACTCTGGAAGATAACTTCATCAGTAAGATCCTGCAATTAACAAAATGTAAATAATGTTAGTATTGTAAGTTTTGTTAGTATCGTTAAATTGTAAGTTACGTTAACATTGTAAGTAGAGTAGGTAATTTTTTGTATGTAATGTAATGTAATGTTATTGCAATAAAAAAAAAGTAAGAACCTGCAATAAATAATAAGAATCATCACATCATATAAGCAATCACCGAGCACAGTTTACTTCCCCACAGCCGTCCGTACACAAAACTTAATTGGTAGAATTGCACACTGTATACTAATGCAAATACTACAATCCGATTGGCCGAGACATCGCACACTATCACCCATTAGTGTGCAGTGGCCTGATGTGGTCAACAAACTGGAAACGTTTATTTTTTTCCTTTTCTCCGACGTTTTGATAGGCTCGATTTCCGCTTGACAGTTTAATGAATTTAGAAACTCGAAATTGTTGAAACTGATTAGCGTGTGTACACAACTGCAAATTGTAAATTAAAATTCAATCTGTGGGATTTTTCTAGAGCGTGAAGTTTCATACTAAGACGAGAACTGACTGGGAACCGTTATCTGAAGAATATTAAAGTTAGAACTCTACTAAAGCAATTAAATTACTCGCTCTCGATTTGTATGAGGTGATAGTTGAGTCGACCCTCAGCCTAACAGAAATCTAAAGCTTCTAATCTAATTGTTGATTAGTCTGTAATACATGTATATAATTATATAGGGATACGCTGTATAACAATACATTTAAAAGTTGAATTTGATCTCATTGTACCTCATTAGACGACTGTTCTGAATCCAAAGATTTTGTCTGATTGAGTAATGAATTCCCCTGAAGAAAAAAATATTCAAGTCAGTAACATCTGTCACTATTTACCAATAAAAACAAATATAAACATGATAAACATAGATAAA